GAAGCAGAGGCCAAGGAAATAGATGTTAAGAATGCAAAAAGTTGGATCAATTGCTACATCCAATGCCTAAACATCATAAAGATCCCTTGAGAAAATGACTGATCCTTAAAGTTACATGATGCACCTAAAAGTTACCTATTTTAAGAGTACATTTCAAGCTCATTTTATGTACATTTTTAATAAAATTACACTTTAAATGAAGGTATTTTACATATTTTTGGCTACAGATATAAGAAATGGACTTTTGAAGAAAAAGAAGCAAAAATGGTGCAATTTGGAGTAAAAACGAGTAAGAAAGAAAATTCTAACCTGACACATTTCGATATGTCTTTCTGTTCTTAATCTCAATTACATTTCTCGCATGTTTTTTGAATGAAATTAAAGTTTAAGAATAGGTTGTTTTCATGCTTATCTTATAGATATATTTGTTAGAAGCGAAATACAACTAAAACAAGGCGAAACAGAGCTTAAACGGAGTTAAACGGAGTTAAATTGTGGAGCTATTGTAGGGTGGCGCCAAAGGTGCCAGAATCTAGAGAACAGGCACCAGAGGCACCAAAATCTATAGAACAGGTGCCAGAGGCACCAGAAACCGGCTTCGGAGGCTCCAGAGACAGTTATGAACAAAAATTTGGCAGTTTTTGACTATTTTAACATGTTCTAGAAGACTCCAAGTAAGACAAATGCCCCATAGAGTGGTTCAATAAATCTAGACACTTAGGAAAGACACTTGAATGAAGAGATATGTATCTTGGATGAAGATATTTGTCTTCTGGAATGAAAAGATGTGTCTTTTGAGGAAAAAAAGGACTTGAATGAAGAGATATGTATCTTGGATGAAGATATTTGTCTTCTGGAATGAAAAGATGTGTCTTTTGAGGAAAAAAAGGAATTTTGTCTCTTTAAAATGGTGGGGTTCACGCCTCTCATTGATGGTGTGTGTTTGGGTGTGTGTTAGGAAAAATGAGAGGAATGCTTAGAGGTCTTAGAATATGTGTAGAAATACTGATTTCAAGCTTTTTTTAAGAGATTGAAGAGAAGATTTTTAGAGAATCTATAAGGAATTGTACTAGCATTGCATGGATAAATGGGAAACTTTGTGGGAGAGATCTTCATCTTTCTTTCAAAGGAAAAAAATTAAGTATTTTGTTTTTCATTACCTTCTGATTTTGTAAACACTTATCTAGTGAATTTGCTTTGATGTAATGAAGTTTTCCTTCTTATTATTTCATCTTGTTTGAAAATAGTGGCATGAGAAGATTATGTCGTTGTTTTCATGTTACTTTTTTTTTTTCAATGAGTAGGTTTCATGTGTAGAATTTTGGGATGCATGTTAGTATGTGTTTTAATTATAAATGTGATGGTTTTTACTTGAATTTTATTTACATTGCCATTTAGACCTGTTGTAATGTTAAAATTTGTTGAGAAAAATAAAATTTGAAAGGGCTATGATTTTTATGATAAAGTAAGAATCACATTCAATTTCATGGATGAGAATGTAGTCCATGGGGTTGAGTGCAAATAAATAGAGAAATATACTTTCATGAGCGTAGAATTGGGGATTTTATGGTGACAAACTAAAACCCCCAATTTGGTATATAATTTTAGGTTTTGATAAGAGATGTTAGCCCCTAGGTGGATGAAGAGGAGGGAACATTAGAGTGAGAGCTAGTATCTTCCATACCTAACCGGTCTTCAAGACTATTCAAACTATAAATTAGCCAATGTTCTTTATAGCATCTCTAGTAAGGGTAAAGAATATTATCGCTCTTATTTGGCACAACACATTTAGAATACTTTGACAAGAGAATCTCCCTACTGATTACTAATTCATGATAAGGAAAAAGATATTTTAATTATACTGCCTTCATCTTGCAAGTATTTAGTTAAGTTAATTAGTTGCTTACTTTATTTTAATAAACCAAAAATTACAAAAAGAATTAAATTTGCATTCCTATTTTAGCATCTTAAGTTTAAGTAAGATCATTTTGCTAAGTAGATTTTTTTTGTCTAAAATTTCTAGCCTTTCTAGTTTTCTCAAGTACATATTGCTAATCTCCATGTGGGTTCGGTATTCGGGGCTTAATTGAAAAGTCCTATATTACTTGATAACAATACATATACTTGCGTAGTATCCCAAATTTAAATATTATAATTGTATTCTCATTGTTTCATAGTTGAAAACTTATTTAGCTTTTGCTTTGAATAATAAATAGCTTCATGCCAAATCACATCAATTATACGAAAATAAGATTCAAAATTCTTGCTTAAGGGCCCGTTTGGGGCAGATTATAGGGAGCAGCGGCATTTTCAAAACTCTGCCTCCCTGTTTGGATATCACGTTCGGGCAAAATTATTCGTGCCGCGGCGTTTTTTTATCGTTGTTTTCTTCATAATTTCGCAAGCCAGCTCCCCCTGTGTCCCACGTCCAATAAGAAAAAAATCACTGTTCTGCCCTTTTCTTGCCGCCTCGCCTCCTCCCTGGGAGAGAATCGCAGTTATGCACACATTTCGCTCGTGCTGATCCTTCGCATCACCCGTGACGATCCCTTCGCTCACTGCCCTTCTCCTCCTCCGCTTCGCTCGACCTACAGACCTCAGCAATTCCCATCTTTCTCTTGCTCCGTACCATCGCAGCTTCTACAGACCTCCGCAACTCCCATCTTTCTCCTACTCCGCTCTGTTGCGGCTTCTGCGGACCTCCGAAACTCCCATATCTCCCTCCTCCGCTCCATTCTGCTCCTACTCAAAAGCACCGAGGAAGGTAACAACTTGATCGCGGCTTCTATAGACCTCTGACCTCTGTTCCTACCCAAAAGCATTGAGGAAGATAACCCCATATTTCTCCTCCTCTGCTCCCCTCCGAAACTCCTCATATTTCTTCCCCCAAAATAAAAAATTGTGAGATAGAGTGCCTTCGACTTACAAGTTGTTACGGAAGAAGCTTGGAAAATGGTGAACAATGTATATGTATTTCTTCTTATTTTATTTCTATGCTGAACTAATGCTGAACTAACTAATTTTTTTACTGTTAATTATAATTGTATTTCTTTTGACACTCACAAAATGATGAACAATATATTTTAATTTTTGTAACTGAATTGTAATAGTTTGAGACTTTTATTCTATCAATTTTTTTCATATACAGTTCTGTTGGAAACAGCTTAACCAAACATGGGCAAAATGATCATTTTAGGGGCATAATGATCATTTATCCAACAACAGCTCTCAGTAAGTTGTTTTGAATAAGCTGCATCAAACAACAAGCTAACTTATTCTGATAATCTGCAGATTATCAGATTATCAGAATAATCTGCTTATCAGCAATTATAAATAATCAACAGCTACCTCAAACAGACCCTAAGTGTACGGATTAGAATTAATTCATAATATATAATATTTTTATAATTTTCTTATATTTTGATGAACAACATTTCCTAAATTTTAATGTGATAATGATTTTAATTTACCTGCCAATCACATCTAAATTGAAGAAGACAATGCTAAAATTAACAAAAGCGGCCAGGTAATATTGACAAATTGTAATTTGTAAGCACAGCGGTGTTTGAATAGAAGTAATCTGGCTAAGCGCAATTTTTTGTGTAATGATCTGGATTAAATATTTTTAAATTCATTTTGATTGAGAAATTTAAAATTTTATTTTTAAAGATATTAGAATTTTATTGAGCAATACTGTAATATGTTTGATCGATTATATATTAATAAGTTTCTAAATAGATTGGTATCAATTTTTAATAGAAAAATATTACAAGACTCCCGATGCATTCAGAGTCTAATAGTGGTGTGTCATGTGTCAAATGGGTCCAATCATTCTTAACACTGGCCAATTCCAGTGTATTGGGGTGGGCCTCACTTGACACGTGGCGCCCCACCATTGAACTCCTCGCAAACTATAACTAGAGTTGTAAACGAGCCGAGCTTGAGCGAGCTCAGGCTAGGCTCGTTTGACTCGTTCGAAATAGCTCGTGCTCGAAATGGGCTCGTGTTTGAAATTGGCTTGTAAACAGTGTGTTTGTGTTCGTCTTGATTTAAATATTCATGTTCGTGTTCGGGTCGTGTTCGGCTCAGAAAAATTAAATTAAAAAAAATAGATGTAAAGTATGAGATTCGAACCTGGACAAAATAGGACATTAATCACATTACCACACGAGATGTTATAATTTAAACTTAGATATAAATTATGTAATATATTATTATATAAATAATTATGTATTTTTTTTAATTTCGAGCTAAAATGAGCCGAACACGAGCGAACAAAGAGCTATTCGTGTTTGGC